ATTCATAAATAACTAAAAATCTTTGATTCTCTTCTATTTTCTCCAAAAGGGAAACAGTTTTAACACATGGGATTAGGGTCACAAAAGATTTTCTTTATTTCCTCCTGCTCATGTTAACTCACTGTTAGGTCACAGAAGGAAAAAATCAAACTGGTAATAAAATCTCTCATTTTATCACCAGCAAGTTCAAATTGGCATACAGTTTGGAAAAATGAAACCATGTTTTAAAATCCTATGATTACATGTTTAAATAAATTATAGTTTAGAAGGAGATTCCTGTGGGTATATTTGCTAGTACATAAGAGAATGCTTTTGTGCATAGAGATTTAATTACACATATGGAATCAAAATGTAGAATTGAACAACCTTTCAGAAAATGTTAAAACGATGCTTTAGGCTAAAAGAAACTGAAATTCTGCATTTATATGACTGCAACCCTTCAAGATTCTTGAACATAAATAGTTCAAGTGAAGTATTTTATAACTCAATTAAAATGACAATAATGGTTTTTTCAGGCCCCCATAGCTGATATAACTTTAAACTATTGCCATGTATAAATGTGTAAAGTTACCCCACAATGAAGGTTATTTTCTTAACAATTTTTAAAATAAATGGGAGTAAAAATTGCTCCTATCTTCTTTTGAAACCAACTGAAATAAATTAAAAAGCATTACTATTAAGAAACACTATTGGATGACCACAGAAAACATTTAGGGAGGTAATGTTACTGTATTACCTTTTATGATATTAACCAATATTAAGTAGAACATATTGGTACATGTAAACATATTTTCATTAAAAATCAACATAAATAATACATATACTCACATCTAAACCAAAGTATTTTATTTTATGCATGGCTAGGCAGATTATATTTAATAAAATTGAGCTTTTGGCATAATTTAGAAAGCAAACATGAATGTAATCCCATAGGATTTTCTATTTTAATGCATGGGAAAGAGGCCTTTAGGGATTTATTTCACCATTCTTCTCAAATGACTTCAGAATAGATCTTACAATGCAGATATAGTGAAACAGACATACCTGTTATGCTGTAAGAGTGGAGGCAACTTTAAGATTTTTCGTAATAAAATTACTTAGTAGAACCTATGTTTAGCATTAAAAGACATATTTTAAATTACATTTGGACAAACTCATTCACAGCATTCGTTGCCATTGGGCACTAAGTCACATTACTGATAGAAGAAATACATTTTCACTTTGAAAAAAATCTGTTTCTGAAAATACAAATTAAGTTTTTACTTCTGAAAGTTTTTTTATTGTTTTGCTTTTGCCATTTCATTTGCATTGACAGGATATTAATTGACCAAATTGTTTGTTCCTTTCTCATAGGATGGTTAAAGAACAAATCTATTGCTTTGTCAATATTCACATTTTGGGTAGTTGTAGCTTTTATTCAGTATTTCTCAGCTGATTTTTACCAAAAACCACTTAACACAAATACTTTTAAAATTATTTCTTACTTTGATACAGAACTCAGTACAAGAAATGTGTAAAGATGTGCAGAAAAAAAACCAGCATTCTTTTTTCTAGAAGTATCTTCTTGTAAATTAAAATTATGAAACTGAACATATGGTAAAACCTCATGCCACTCAAACAGTATTTTGCATAATAAAAATCCTTCATTTTTTTGTTAATACTTGACACACAGTTACCATCTCCTAAATACTTGCTTTAAAATTAACCACTTAATATTTTCTTATTTAAGAACTATTTTTTATTAGGCAAAGAAGAATAACTTTGGTTTTAGATTTCATTGCTAATTTTAGTAAACATGGGCATCACTAAAATGTACAAAGTCCTAACAGACAGTGTAAAGATTCTGAAAATAAGTTGCTACATGCTAAGAAAATATCAAATATCTGCAAATTCTAAAAGTAGTTAATACCATTAGTAACACTACCAGTATTAGATAGCATTTATTTAAACTTAGATAAAATACACACATTTTGCAAGTTTTTATATGTAAATCACATCTGGCTAGTTTTTGTTCTATCTTTAATGATAAAATAACCACTTTTGATTTTTTCCTCAGACTAATTGGTGGATAGAATGTCTCAATTTAATTTACAAAATGAAGGTATTGATAATATTGCAACAGAGACATATATGCCCTTTTCCTCATCATAATTCTGCAATTATCAAGCCTACAATTTTAACACTACAAAAGTAACTTAAAGCAAGGACCCTTATAGTGATAAGTAATAAATCTAATTACCATATCCTTTGAATAGATGTAATATAAATTTCATTGCTCACTTAAAAGTTCTAAAGTTAACAGCATAAACTTGAAGTTGAGTAATTAAGTAATCCTTATATAGACACTTATTAAAGTATTTATACATATTATCTTAAATCTACATCTATCATTTTGCCAATTAAAATTAGGACTTTAATTGCAATTAAGTAATTTAATTGCCAATTGAACAGCAAAATTGCTAAGTGACTAATTTTAATGCCTATTTTAATTACCAATCATGACTGGGGAGGGAGCTAATCAAGTTACATCAAGCAGTACCAGAGTAATGATGTGGGAAAAAAAAAAAAAAAAGGTAGAACAAACATTCAAGGCTACGTGCTTCAAAAAAAAAGAAACATAAATTAAATAAATGCAAACACAATCCTATAACTGCATAAAATACTGTATTTCAGTATCTCAATACAGAACATGAAAGGAAACAAGATTAATTAAAGAAGCCCCTGTCAATCTTCAAAGTAAGGACAACCAAAGTCAAATTTTATATGGTATTTACATGGCATCCATGCTAACCCAGATAAAAACAAAAGCTGTATACAGCCGAGAATAAAAGGCTGTTTCCTGCTTGGCTGGTTAAATATTTGCAGACTGGCAGTTAAAAAATAAATCTTAAATGAAATGCCATAAAAGAGAGAAACAAGTTTCCAAATGCAACAACGTGGATTTTGCATTTGAAAAGCCAACAGGGAAAGTGCAACGGGGCACTATACTCTTTCCTGGTTGTTCCTCTCAGCCACAATCACTTGAATGAAGACTTCTACGAGAGGCCTAATGTCTATCCACAGCTGTCCCATGTTACCTTGAGAAAAACAGACTCCTGGCCAATCTTAAATACTTAGCATGGGGAATATACCTAATTCTAATAGTCTTTCTTCATTCAATTAGAATAAACACGCACACTCAAGATAAAGGCTGAAAACCAGCAGGCAACCAGAAACACTGGTGAAAATTTTCTTGGACAACACAAACATATTTTCAAAAGTTTTCATATTCAGACTAATTCTCAGATTAGCAATATGGAAGGGCACTATTGAAAGGAGGAGGTGAAGCTGAGAACTCAAAAAACAGAAAGTGATTCCCTCTGGCAGTAACAATTCTAGTACTTTCTGACTATAGGGTTTCCCTTGGCAGCCAGCCACCTCATTTAGAGTAACAATGGACATCCATCAAATCTTCATTTAAAATAAAAGTCATGCTGCAAGATACATATTTTATTTTCGTTGTCTCATATATATATATATACACACACACACACACACACACACCAAAAATATAATATACCTACCTATGTCTACAAAAGGGTCCAAGATTATTAATGAAATATATGTAAGCCTATAACTTGATGAAAAGCGTATCATGCGGCTTGGGATTTTATTTACTAATGGACTTCAATTCTGAAATGAAGCACAGCAGGACTTTCGGCCTGGCTTTTGAAGAAGGAACACTTTAATAATCACTGGGCCTGACAAAAGACTGCAATATCTGTTCATGACAATAACAGCTTTATAAAGCAAGTTCTGTGTGACTGATTAAAGGACACACTCACCGCCTATTCACAAGTCATGGAGATGGAGTCATTATTGACAAGCTCACCATCGCTACTGATCATGTTTAAAACACATCGAGTGCTGGTGCTACAAAGAGAAATAAAACCTCAGCCATTAAGAGATTTAAAAAAACAGCCCCAGAAAACAAGATTGCCATAACTTATGTATATCTTAATGTGTTCTGTATAAGATTTTCTCCTATATACACACACAAAAGATCTTATTTGATAATAATTATCAAAGTTATCGAACTAACTCAAGCACTAGGTAACAAATCAGCCACTACAAAAGGGGGGGGGGGGGAAAAGAGCATTGTCTTATAATTTCACAGTAATTCTGAAAGGACATGATATATAGACAAACTTTCAAAATGTTAACACTTTCCGAAACTTGATATGACTGAAAGCAAATACTTTTTCAGATTGTTCATGCCTATTTTGGGCATTCTGCTAGTCATTAGTTTACATGAATTAATGTTTACATAGTGCCAGAAGCGAAAAGTTTTAAAAGTGTGTCTCTACCTTTCAAATATCCTTTAGTAGGTAAAAGTAAACATAAAGTTTAGAAATTCTAGTAAGTTATTTTACTTTTTTGCCCTTATTGTCTTTCTGTGTGATCTATCTGTATTAGTGAATAGAAAATAAAGGATACAGTAAAAGACAACCAAAGACAACCACGTTTATAATCTGAAAGGCAATCAAAACATTTTATTAGTCACCAGGATATTTTAAAATGACACCTGTGAAATATTGCAGAATCAATCCACTAGGAGAGAAACAGCAACTGAAGTATGCTGTCACTGACATGTTGGGAGGAAAAAGCAAACTACCAGTACCACCATGTGCATGATTCAAATTAAGCTACATAAATAGAGTGCATGGGGTTGTGGATACAGAAACTGGTTCGCTGAGGAGGTGCTACTTACATTTCCTGTATTTCATATTTCTGAGAACTGTCTTCTGTAATTTCCAAAGTGTAGGAATGGTTGAAGTTTGAAAATAAATGGAGAATTTCAAATAGTTAATGAATAGATTTAGGAGCTATACTGAAACAACTAACAGAAAATACGTTTTCCGGAGTCCTTTAATTTTGTATGCTTAAAAGTATGGTATTCCTGAAGATGGCTAATTCTTGTTGAAGTAACTAGCTCTGGAAGTCCTATTTTCCATTTCTCCACACTTCATCTATTAATCGGTTGACTGGCAATTTCCGACACCACAGTTTTGCTAAACTTTATAAATTTTGCTTCGTCCAGAGGTAGGAGGGGGAGGGAGATGGGCAATACAGAAACAGATTTTACAGCCAGAATATGACAGGGCCCCTCAAACTACAAATAGATGTTGTAGAATTTGAAATGTAGCTCTGTAGCTCAATTTATACCACAGAATTGCGAGATGCTATCTTCCTGTTGTTATAACGTATCAGGTCAAGGGATATAAATTGTACCAGGTAATTCATTTTGCTGTTCAGAGAGTCATTAAGTTCCTCCCAGAATATATGTGATTGATATCCCTGGAGGTGAAAGGCTAAAGGAACCATATGGCAACATGTTGCATTCCGTATGCTATCTGCCCATCCGTGCTTAAGCTGTCATTAGCAACATCTGTACCTTACGGAAATCCAGCTGCGCCGACGACGGCTGACAGAATTGTACTTGGGGGGGAAATCTAGCTTAGCGCCATTAACTTGAGACTTAGAGTCTATCTACCAGGACGGATGGAAGCTTTCACAATTAGACGAGACGACACAAATGCTTTATTAAAGTTTAATTTTGAACTCTCAATTAGCGAAAGTGCATTACAAATCGATTGTAATTTCCTAGAAGGTACAGCAAGTTCTCTGCCTGCCTGCCACGTGAGAGACGCTCCAGAGCAAGCTTCCCCAGCTCCCGGCAGCAGAAAGGGGATGGTTCAGAGCCGGTCTCCGTATCCCAGGAAGTCCCTAAAATCCGCGCCAGCCCCTCCTCCCGCAGGGCGGGGGCGTCCACGGCGCGAACCCGCCAGAGATGTAGGGGGAAGTGTGGGGGGCTGGTCCGCAGCCTTCGAGGGGTGGGGCGACAGGAGGGAGCGGCCGGGGGAGGAGAGGCAGGCAGGCGGGCGGCGGGAGAGGGGCCTGTATTATCTCGGCTTCTCGGGAGGAGCCTCATCTAGTCAGTCACGCAGGAGAAGTTTCTCTTTCGCTCTTCGCGCTACACACCCAGGTTGGCTTCCAGCGCGCAGGCAAGGGGGGCGAAGGAGGGGGGACCGGAGTCCCGGAAGGGCAGCCCGGCGTTCACACCCACCCCTACTCCCCTCCTCCCGACCCAAACAAAGCCCCCCGACTCTAAGTCCAGGATACGTTACCTGCCCGGCGCTCCCGGCCCCTCCGTCACCGCATCCCCAGCTGGACGCGCGTGGTACGGGTCCCGCTCCCCGGGGCTCACAAAGTGGTCGCCCCCGGCTGGATAGATCCCCCTCTCTCGACATACTGGGGCAGTTTTTGGGATAGAGGGAACACGGGAAGTGAAACCGGAGGCTGGGGCAAGGGGAACTTACAGATAAAATAGAAAAAAAAAAAAAAAAAAAAAAAGCCCACAGGGCCCGGGTCCCGACCCGGGGCGAAAGAGGCCAGTTACCTTTCGGGGGCTCGCGGCCGACAGAGAGGGGAGCCGGGGAGTCTCCCGCCCCCCTCCCTCGGCCCCCGGCGGCGACAGCAGCTGCACACACAGAAGCCCATTGTCGCCTGCGCCCGGCGCGCGGCCCCGCGGCCAAGCGCGTCAGCGGCCCCGTCAGCCGGGCCGGGCTCCGTGACGCGCGCGCAGCCCGCGCTATAAATAACCAGCCGCCGGGCGGCTCGGGCGGCTTTCCAGTGACGCCGGGGCCGAGGCGCGGGAGGAGGAGGGCGAAAGGAAACAATAAAACCGCCCGCCAGCCTCCCAAGCCTCCCTCCTCCCTTCCCGGGCCGCCCGCGGCCCTTCGCGCCGCGCTTCTCTTTCCCCGCCCCGGCCCGCCCTGCGGGGAGCGCAGCTCGCGGGTGGGAAGGAGCCAGGCGTGCCGGCATCCCCGAGTGCTGCCGGGGCCCCGGGCGGGAGGGGTGTTCCACGCATCCGGGGATGGCGAGGTGGGAACTTGGCGACAAGTTTAGCGAGGGCATCGCTGTGTTCCTTTCTAGTCGAGTTAAAATGACCCGATGCTTTTCCCGCTTTTCCCTATTCTAGTACAGGTCTGATGTGTTTTTGTGGTAGTAAGTCCTCAACCGAAAATAAAAGTGAAAAACCTGTCGTCTGCAAGGTCAGCATTATCTAGGTTTTTGTGGGGCCAGGCTTGCATTAGTGTTTTCATTCGGGGTGTTGGATTATAGAAAGGGTGCCCCGTGGAAGCAGCGCGGGCATGGGTTCCAGGACCCACGATGTCAGCTCCGGTGCATTTTACAGGTCTTTTTGCCGTAGAACTTAGCGTAGGCCTGAAACACGGCATAAATGAACTTTCTAAAAGTCGATTTTCTCAACGTTAAAGAGATTACGTTTTAACTATGAACTTTAATAAAGGCTCCCACTTAAAGGGGGCTTTCTCTGTAGGAAAGTATTCATATTTTTCTGGAGACTTTCATTGCTACCTTCCATACTCAGGCAATTCTGTCACACACCCTGACACTTGTCCTACTCATTAAGGTAGCCATATACAACTGGAGGCAGTCTCTTTTCTTGGGACCATCAATTAGTAGACTATAAAACTGTATTTCGTCTTAAGCGAAATGTCTCAGCTATATGAACATATTTTCTGAGGTGCTGATATAGATATAAATTTGCAGATGCAAGCAAGCTGTTGCAGTGACTTGCATGGGTAGGGTGAGTTACTAGTGTTGGAGGAAGTAGTTCTTAGTTCTCTAGTGAGGCAAAGTGGTATAGTAGAAGGTTCTCTGAGCTGGGGTTTAGAAGATCAAGAAATTTGAGTTTTAATTATGACTTCACTGTACTTTTCTGTGCCACCTTGCAGAAACCATGGCCTTTCTCTGCCGCACTTTCTTCATTAAAATTAAGGACTGACAGTTCCTTTTCTACACTAACATTCTAGGATGTTAAAGGATATTGTGTCCAGGGATAAAGTTTTATCAAACAAACATAAGCACCCAGTGTCTCATGGGAGACAGGTAACAAATGTAGATAAATTTGGTATTCTGACATTTTAAAATTTTGTACATCTTAAAATATATTAGGGCCACTTCAGGAAAAGAACAAATTAAAATATACCATTAAAACTATTTTAAAAGGAAAAAATAGTTGTCACAGTCTGCCTCATTTACAGGACAGCAGACATATTTACAATCTAATGATGTCACAGGCCCTTTCCAACACCACGTTTTCTCATGTGAGCAAATGGATTATGGGTAGCAAAATGCAATGAGACCACTTTCTCCAATTTTGCTCCCATTTCTGGTTTGTGTAGTTTTTAAAAGGAATGTTTCCGTTGAAAGACACTGAATTGTTTATCACTAAGTGGTGTTATTGAGACAAGGGAAAGTTTTCTGATTTATCTTATCAGTCAGAATATGCTTTATTCTTTTTTCTTCAGGTTGGTGAACGCAGAAAACATAAAAGTGGCAAAAACAAGTTTAGAGCCAAAACATTTGCTTCACATAGACACCACCAAAGTGTGATCACAACGAAAAGTTAACCAATATTTTTCCAGTTCCAAAAACACATCTGTCTCTCTTTCCCATAAAATGTTTGATATGTCTGATTTAACTTAGCCTTAAGGTTCTTTCTTCTGCTCCTTATAAAGAGGTATTTTTCTTTCACTGCTATTTCCCTGAAACACTGAACTTCTCTCATAATTTTAAATTAAAGCCTTTTTGCTTACTTCTTATCCCTTTTTAACGTGATCAGTTCCATTTTCCATTATCCCTGCCCTTAAAATTTTAATAGAATGAGAACTAGCATATACTGGCAAAATTTGAAACATGCCCAATTTTAGAGGGGAGGGAGGAAACAAGGTTAGCTTTAGAACCAGTAGAAATACAGTAAAACAACCAGTTTCCTCAAAACAAACAAGACCAAAAAAATCATAACAAAATTTGTGAAATAGGGGACTGAAAATATGGAAGATTTTTTTCTGGATCTCATTGATAACATAAAGCTTGTTACAATTTTTCAAACATAGTGAATGTTTTAGAATGTGAACATTTCCCAATCTTCTGAAGTTTCTGTCTACCTGAGGTTAAATCCTTTGAAAGACTCCTCTACAGCAACAGTATTGAAGAATTTATTAGAGAAACTACAGTGAACTCTTGCCTTATTACTCAGTTAATCCTGATCTATATTTAGAGAGAGGTGCCAGCCAGGTTGAGGCTTCAAAGGAATGAGCACAAATATTTACCATGTCCTGTGCAGTAGAGTTTTGGTGATTGAAATGAAAATTCATCTTGGAAAATATCACTGAAGTTATAGTATAAGCAAATCTCAGCAACCTTCAAATGGATAAATAGAAGGTTAACAAGAAAAGTGATGAGGGATTCTCAGTATTCCAAATGAAAGAAAAGGGACAACTCAGATTTAGGAGTAGGAGCCTTGTTCATTTAAAAGGCCAATACATTCAGGCAGGCAGTGTCTTAAAAAGAAGGTTGACTAAATTCAAGAAAATTACAGGGCTCCCAACATCAGTTAAAAATGTGAACATGTACACATATAACCAGCCCTTCTGACAAGGCTGTCCTTATTTTAATGGGTAAATGCCTCAAGCTGCCCAGACTTTGGTATCCCATTGATGGGAGTCACTGCAAACAACTTTGTTGTTCTAGTATAAATTATCAACCTCCAACTAGGATTTGTTAACTATGAATTTTTAAAAATCCTTTGTGTGGGTTTAGGGTCCTAGACTTGTTTGCCCTGGAGTTCATCCCTGGTTCTTCTTTCCCCTCCTCTGGTCCATATCACAGGGACGCTAATCCCTGCAAGCTGCATTTCCAAGCTTCCTTGCCAACTGGTTGCCAGCTGGGTTTGAATGGGAAGCTGGAGGAGGACAGTGGAGAGCTGGAGGGTGGGAAAAGCTAGGATGTTCCCCGCCACACTGCCACACTCCGGCTCCGGCCAAGTGACCCATGACCTCTGACCCTGTGCCCCGGTATCACAGCCTCTTTCCTTTAATGTTCTATTTTGGAGTCATAGTGGCTTCATCCTTTTGAAAATAACTGTCCCTTTTTTGGTTTCTTAGCTCTGTTTCCACCTGTTTTACAAATTTATTGAATTAAATTATCCCTATGTTAAATACTCAGAGCAGTTTCTGTTCTGATTGGAGCCTGAATCCATATATCCCTTTGACAGGCATTACTGGACCGTATACATGGAAAATTCAGTCATTCCTTGAATTCCTTTTACTAGGAATTCTTTTTTTAAAATGTGCTACTTAGAAGTGCTAATAAAGGGTTCAGTCCTTAGAAAAACAGGATAAAACCTAATACACTTTAAAAAGTCAATTTCTCATGGGCATAATATTAAAATTATAAACACAAAATATTACATAACTTCACATAAGTCAGAACAGGGCAAATACATAGCTGAGGCTGAGACATAAATTTCACGCCAATAAGAAGGGTGGCATATAATACCTGTCAAGGCTTAATTTACATCACACATTTGTGAGGCCTACTCATTCACTAGCTTGTTTGCCAATGGTCTCCGCCTCCTCAGATCTTACAAGAGAGAAGGAGAGAGAGAGAAAGAAAAAAACACCTACATTACTAATTTGAAACACTATTATATATGTGATTCCTTGGAATAATATTTTGAAATCTATATCATGTCTGTATTTTTCTTCTCCCTATATTTTCTGCGATTGCTTCTCTCCTCCCTCTCTACCCCTGTAAGCAGATCTCCTGCTGGGTGTTCACTCTCCCAAGAAGAGGTAAAAGTAAGTGCATACAAAAATGGTCTATGAATATTTCTGGCTTTGTTTTATAAAATCCTAAATTCTTAAGAAAAAGAATCCAAAGTATCTGGAAGAAGCTTCAAAGGGGAAAATGTTTTTCTGAAACTGTAAAAAGGATCTCCATGGGCACGTACAAGGGGACAGAGACAGAATGATTAGGTTTCCTGAGGGAGAAACAAGGAACTAGAAGCTGATATTGGGGAAGTAGCCCAAGAAAGAAGAGGCCCGGGGTAGACTTAACAAAGGAATCCCAAGAGGTTGTGGTTTTAGCATCCAGGTGTGTCACGGGAAGACAAATCATCACACAAATACTACCTAGACCTCACTCGTCTGTACTAGAGATTGCACTCGTTCTTCTTTCCATTGACTGGTCTTCACCCCCGGGAGCCAAAGTGACTGGTCAGGACTTGTACGGGAGCCATCAGGAGGGATCTCTGTATTTCTTTGTTCTCTGTACTTGAACAAATGTAAATTGCCACCACAGGGCACGAGCCTGCTGGAGAACAGTGCCAACACGGAGAAAATGGATCCAAGAGATGAAGATGGATAAACTGGGTGCTGAAGACCTTTGAGCTATTTTGGAGCTAGACTGATCACTGGACTCTCAAATCATATGAGTAAATTTGTTCTGTTTTAGGTGAAGTTAGCTTGGATTGAATTTTCTGTCATTTGAAATGGAAAGAATCCTAATTAATACACTAGCCTCTAATACCTGTTCAAAGCCTTAGTGGGGCATAGTAAGTACAGAACTTACCTGTTGACCAATATCAGTGCATACACATATGATACCAATTTATTAACTTTACTGCTACTGGGCCAAGGAAAGGGAGTTGTAATATTATCACACATGTGGCATGTCAGAATCAAATTGGAGTACCCACTTTTGTTTAAACTTCCAGGGAGGATGGAACTCTTCTTACCACAGACATATTAAACTCTCTTATCACCACTACAGAAAATTCAGCAGTCAAAGCAGGAGACATGAAACATAAAAGGCTTTGTTCCCTGTATATCTTCCACCGTTTTATTGCTGCACCTCCACCTCCAGCTTTTACT